CAGCCGAGGGATGTTGCACGGCCTCGTTCGCGGCCGTTTTGTGGGGATGTCTCAAGCGGTTTGCCTGTTTTCTGTCCCAGCATCCTTCGCTTTCGGAGCAGATTTGGAGGATGCCTCGAGCGAGGCGCTCATTTTCACGTTCCTGAGGGGAGCCGTCGAGGGGTATTGCACGGTCCCGTTCGCGGCCGTTTCGTGAAGATGTCTCACGCGGTTTGCTTATTTTCTGTCCCAACATCCTTCGCTTTCGGAGCAGATTTAGAGGATGTCTCAAGCGAGGCGCTCATTTTCACCTCCCAGGTGGACCAGATTTTGAGGATGTCTCGATCGGTGGCCAGTCTCGTGGGCACAGATTCTCCTCAGGATGCCACAGGAGGCTCCAACAGGCTCCAGGAGGCCCCAGGAGACCACATGAGGTTCCAGGAGGCATCAGGAGGCCACAGAAAGACTCAAGAGGCCACAGGATGTCCCAAGAGGCTCTAAGAGGCCCCAGGAAGCGCTGGGAGGCCTCAGGAAGCCACAGGAGGCCCCAGGAGGCCAAAGAAAGCGCCAGGAGGCATCGGAAAGCAACAGGAGGCCCCGAGAGGCCCCAGGAGCAGTCCCAAGCGCCCAAATGGCTAGACGCGCATTCCCAGATCCCACTGACAATTATCTTTTTTATTTAAAAAAAGATGCACATCTGGGGATCCCCACGCAGTGAATATTTTTTTCCCCCATCCAAAGTGGGGTTCTTGTTTTCTCTGGACACCCCGCGCAGGAACAGGAACCCACCATCATCAGCATCACTCATTCCTCACTCACTCACTCACTCATCATCCCTCACACACTCACTCACTCACTCACTCACTCACTCACTCACTCACTCACTCACTCACTCACCGACTCATCAGCACTCACATATGATGATGATGAGTGTGCGCGCGAGAGAGTGTGATGATCATCACCATCATCACCAGCCAATCAGTCAGTCAGTCAGTCAGTCACTCACTCACTCACTCGCCTTGGGCCTCGTCTGTGAGTAAAGTCTGAGGAAGTCTCAGGCGGGAGCCCCCTCCCTATGGGGTCCGCGGATTATGTTACTAATCCGAACGGGTCATCAAATTCCGATACCTGTCGCCACTTTTGGGCTGTCGCGCTGCCAGAACGCCACTCCCAGGCCACATTTTGAATGCCCGGAACCAACTGCAAGCCACTTCGTGTTCTTCGTGCTCCCAGATCATAGGGAATGCTTGCAAGGGCCCCTCCTTATGGGGCCCGCATATCATGTTACTAATCCAAGCGGGTCATCGGAACCCTGTAACTGTCGTCACCTTTGGGCCCCTGAGGCTTGAATTTTGGAGGAAGTATCAGGCTGGAGCCTCGTCTGTGAATGAATTGCGAGGAAATCTCAGGCGGGACCGCTCTCCCTGTGGGGCCCGCAGATCATGTTACTAATCCGAGCGGGTCATCCAATTCCTGTAACTGTCGTCATCACTTTTGGGTTCCTCAGGCCTGAATGTGAAGGAGGTCTTAGGCGGGAGCCTCGTCTGTGAGTGAATTGCGAGGAAGTCTCAGGCGGGACCGCCCTCCCGATGGGCCCGCTGTTCATGTTATTAATCCGAGCGGGTCATCCAATTCCTGTAATTGTCGTCAATTTTGGGCTCCTCAGGCTTGAATAACGGGAAAATCTCGGGCGGGAGCCTCGTCTGTGAGTGAAATATGAGGAAATCTCAAGCGGGAGCCCCTCCCTATGGGGCCCGCGGATTATGTTACTAATCCGAACGGGTCATCAAATTCCTATACCTGTCGCCACTTTTGGGCTGTCGCGCTGCCAGAACGCCACTCCCAGGCCACATGTTGAATGCCCGGAGCCAACTGTAAGCCACTTCGTGTTTTTCGTGCTCCCCGAACACCACTCCCGGGCGACATTTTCAATGCCCGGAGCCAACTGTAGGTCACTTCGTGTTCTTCGTGTCCCCAGAACACCACTCCGGGGCCACATTCTGAATGTCCGGAACCAACTGTAGGCCACTTTGTGTTCTTTCCGTTCCCAGAACATTACTCCCAGGCCACATTCTGAATATCCAGAGCCAACTGTAGGCCATTTTGTGTTCGTCGTGTTCCCAGAGCGCTATTCCCGGCACGTGTCCACTGGGACGCACCCCTGCGCGCTGCCCACAGGCAGCGTTGGCCTCCTGACGGACGTGAACGAGCGCCTGGACGACGACGAGTCGTACAGGTACGCGGACACGCCAACGGTGGAGATCCAGCGCGCCATCAAGGTCTTCTCTCAGATCCCCTGCGTCTTCGAGGTGAAGGGCACGAAGCGCTTCGAGCCCGGGGGCCCTCTGATCACGCTCCTGGGCTGCACGCGCGAGAGCAAGCCCTTCCCACTGGAGGTCTGGTCCGCTTGGGAGAAGACGTTGGCCACGGACAGCCGCGGCGTCCTGGCCCCTCGGCACCAGCACGAGAACTTTCGGCTCGGCTACGGCATGGGCATATACTGGGAGACGCTGGCGAGGTGGATCAACACGCGCGTTCGTCGCGACGCGCGGCGCCTGGGCGTGCCCCTCGTTTCTTGCAAGCCATGGACGAGTGCAGAACGATTCAGGGCGATCCCGACACGGGCCGGCGCCTCCTGAACGTCCCGAACATGCACAAGACGGGGGACATCCACGGCGTCTTGCCGGCCCACGTCGGCATGGAGGAACGGTTCACGGCAGCGCAGGAAGAGTTCAAGAAGAGGTTGAGGCTCGTGCAGGAGCAACGGGCCACCATCGTGTCCTTCGAGTTTCACGCAGACGACGAGCGGGACTACGAGGAGTGCGCGCCTGGCCAGCTCTTCCGCCCCCGCTTCCTACCGCAGGGAATATGGCTGCAGGTGCACAGCTTCAAGGAGTCTCCGATCTACCAGGCGCCGAGGTGCTGCTGAAGGGCGCCGGGGGCGCTGACGACGACTGCCAGGCCGAGGCGCGGGCGCGGAGCTTGCTGATGTCCAGGCCCAACGAAAGGGAGTTCACGTGGCAGAGCTCGGGGACGCACAAGGTGCGCCGCTCGAGGTTCACCCTGCCGCACGCGTCCTACTTGACCTCCACGCTATCGCAGGGCCAGACGCTGCGCAAGGGCGTCACCATCGACTGCGCGAGAAACGAGGACGCTGGCCGCACGGGCATGTCGGATGAGCAGTGGTGGCTGCACCTCTACGTCATGTTCTCCCGCGCCACGCCCATGCGGAACATGCTGATCCTGCGGCCGACGCCGCGGGAGTTCCTGGAGCGAGGGCCGCTGGCGTCCTTGCGGAAGGCGCTGCTGGAGTTCGACAAGAGAACGGTTTTGTCCAGGGCGGAGGCGGAGCAGCTCGCGGCAAGGCTGGGCTTCGTGCCGCCTCCCGCCTGAGCGTGGCTGCGCCCCGCTCGAAGCCCGCGGGGTTGTCCCAACGGTTTGGTCTTGCACGCCAACGGCTCGCGGGGTTCTCCCGACAGCCTGGCCCGCAGGGTTGTCCCAACGGCTGCGCGACGCGGCCATCAGAGAACGCGCCAGTGCTGGCCGAGGCGGCGACGGCGCCGAGGAACATCGACGTGCTTGCCCCGACCAGGGGGAGGGGGAGGTGCACGTAGAGAAGCGGCAGGAGGAAGATGAGGAGGGGGAGGGTACGGGGGAGGGCGATGATGAGGAGGAGGTGGAGAAGGAGGAGGGGGAGGTAGAAGGAGGGGGAAGGGAGAAATAGACGAAGGAGGGAAAAGAGGGCAGAGGAGAGGGTGAGAGGAGGGTGTTTGCCATGGCCAGGAGGACAGGGAGAAGGGCACGCAAAACAGATTATCATGTGGGGTCCTTCCGTCGGAGTAATTCAATGCGCGGCCCCCGAAGTCCCAACCCTTTCCCTGACACGGGTTTTTCATCCTGACTTGTTTTGTTGCCGTCCCCAGGCCCGGCGAGGGCCCCCAGAGGCCGGAAATGGCCAAAAACCAACCGCCCTGTGTGGGAATCCCAAACACCCTCCTCCTCCTCCTCCTCCTCCTCCTCCTCCTCCTCCTCCTCCTCCTCCTCGTCCTGACTTCTTCTATATACAAGGTTCCTGGGAGCCCGACCCAGCCCAGGGCCAGCCTTGCACCCCGAGCCCTCTCTTGGTTCGACGCTCCTGGGGGGCCCAGCGAGGGCGCCCCGGGGCCCCAAAAACTGCAGAAAAAACCTCCCGTGCCAGTATCGGGTCAGGAAGAACACCAACGTTCCCAGGAGGAGGAGGAGGAGGAGGAGGAGGAGGAGGAGGAGGAGGAGGAGGAGGAGGAGGGCAAAAGGGGGGGATAGCAAAGGGGGGGTTTGAGAATCAGCTCACGTGGCTGATTTTCCCAGCGCCTCCTGGCGCTGGGAGACGCCCATGTGTCGAGGGATGGGCCCGGCGGCGGGGACGAAACCAACTGCATGCAGCAAATTTCGTACCCCCCCCCCCTTTCCCAATCCCCCCCTTTCGTCTGGCCCGACAGTAACGAGGGGCAACGATAGGGGGAGATGGGCATGTGGGGGAAGCATCCACCTGGAATCGCCGATGCATTGCCAATAGATCGGCGATAGGCCCCCGATAGTGAATATGCAGGTTCCTGGGCTATTGGGCCCCTCCTATCAGGGATCAATGTCCGCGATGGGGGGTTGATGCATCACCCCCTATCGTTGCTCCTGAAGTAAGGCGAAGCCAAGACAATGACAAATTCGGGTGAGCAGAATTCGAGAATCTCTGAGATCGGGCGGCTCTGAATAACGTCTCGGGCGCCGCGGCTCTCTCAGAGCGTTCCGGAACGCTCCGGAACGGTTTATCCTCGTCCTAGCCCCATCCGACCAATAGGGGACCGTGCCTCCAGCTGTCGAAAGTAGCTCCAAACCGGCCGCTCCAACTTTGTCGAAGCATCGGATCACTTGGGTCGTGATTTTTCGACGGCGCGGGCACGTCTGGGCTGGTCGGGCCTCAGCTGGGAGGCCAGGGTTCCTTCCGACAAGGACGTCCGCAACTGGGAGGCCGACCTGACTAACACCTAATAGTCGGTGATGCCCGTGACCTCGCGGAACACGAACCTGTCCGGGATGAGGACCTCTGGGCGGATCGCAGAAGGCCATACGAGTACGATGTGCTGACGTCAGAGGCGCACGTCCGACACGAACATATAGCACACAAGACTTGTGATATTTCGTTTCCCGAAAGGCATGGCCAGCAAGCGCCCGTCACGGAGCTCATACTACAATGCTGATGAGCATGCGCGTCGCCCTCTGCAAGGCCGAGGCGCACATCGTACAACTGCCTGTCCGGGGGTCAAGATCTCCGAAAACAAAATAACAGAGTATTGATCCCAGAAATGCCCTACTTTGGCCAATTCCACTGCGATGCAATAGTCTCCGCCCTACTTGTCGGGCCCCTTTGACGTCGATCCCACCGTGCTTAACCGTCGCTGTTTCTGCCATATGTGATCCGCATCGCATTTCCGATAATATGTTGAACCGGATCAAGCAACATGCATCGGATGTGTAATCAATGTGATCCCTGAATCCTGGCTTTGAAATTGTTTTACACTTGGTGGTTCCGTCCGGTTTTGGGGCTCGGGGCCATCACCAATCGATCCAATTCAAAAAATGCAATACAAAAATGGGTTTGCGGGGTCTGGTCGCGATTGTTCGCGGTGTTGTCTTTTTCGCTGATAGCGTTTCGGAAAATGTTTCTAACCGAATCCATTCTTCCTCACCATAATCTCCACAATGGAAGCTGGGGGGGGCGTCTCCCAGGCCCGGCGAAGTCTGGCAGAACTGTCCGGCCGCGCTCACTATGGTGTTCAGGCAGTATGTCTCAACCATAAAATGTAGCATGGTGTTCAGGCTCGATTTCGCTCAGAAATGAAGCTAGCTGTGAATTCTAGCTTCGTTTCGGCCTTCCCCGATCCAGTAATGAGAAAATACTTGTTGTCACGTGTCATGGTGGTCCCGTGTTGGACCCACGTGTTCATCTTCTCCAGGCCACCCAAGGCGGTTTCCAACATGGTCGCCCTGAGCTGAAGCCGCGCGTTTTTACAGGACCAGGCCGCCCAGAAAGAGATATCACATGGAGGTCCCAAACTGGAAACATGTGTTTCTTTCCATGCCCAGGCAATCGAAAGCGGTATCTACAATGGATGCCCCGATCTGGCAGCGCGTGCTTTCCCATGTCCAGACCAGAAAAAAAAAGAGAAATATGATCTGGTGAGCGTGGAACCACGCGCTTCTTCCGCAATACAAATCCAAGATGCAAGGATTCCCTTCCGACCGCAGATCCAGCAATGAGACGCGCTGAGGAAGAAGGAAAAACTTATGGCTGGGCTTCAGCCCTCGCAGATCCATAAATTTTACCCGCTCAAACTATATGGCTCGATTTGGTCCTGTACTGAATTGCTCCGCAGGTGACTGCTGCTGCAACTGCTGCTGCTGCTCGCTCAGCTGCCGTATCAGTTCGAAGCGTCGTCGAGATGGCGGGGGTCATGACTGAACCTGCACGGGTCGTGAATATCCCGCCTTCGCCACATGCGAGCTCTTCTCCCGCTGGCGTGGGCCTGACGGGCGCGTCTTTCGGTGGCCCTGCTCGGCTTGCCGACGGAGGGGCCTTCGACTGGGAAATATGCGAGGCCTGCAGCTTGGGGTTCACGCCGCATCCGCCCGCATCCGGGGTCCGCGATTGTTGAAGGGGCCCTGGGACACACAAATAAATACACATACGTAACATGATTCCCCATATTTCCTTATACTTTCTGGGGTTCTGTCTCCCCCCCACTTCCCATATTCTCCCATATTTTCTTTGGAATCGAGGATTAATTGTGTCTGTGTGCTTCTTTCCCTCCTGAGTCTCAGCTGGCTGCAACGGCCGCGCCGCCGGCGCCCGTGGGCCAAGGCGGGCATGGGCGGCCCCGGGCGGCGAAAGAGCAGCGGCGGCGCCGAAGCAAGCCGACGGCGGAGGCGCACGGCTTCTCCCGCGGTGATCGAGCGAGCTGGCCCCGATCATGATAGGGGGCCGCATGCGAACCCTACCCCTACCCCCCACGATTTCTGACGGGGAGGGTGGGTTTCACCTCGTTCGGGAGCTCCCGAGCGAAGTGAACCCCACCCTCCCCCTCAGAAATCGTGGGGGGTAGGGGTAGGGTTCGCATGTGGCCCCCTACATGAGCCAGAGGGCGCAGCGCGCGGAAGCCGCGGCGCTGCTCAGCCTGCGGCGCGGCCATTCCGCGAGCGCGCACAGAGTTCTGGCGGCGGCGCAACGCAGCCTGCCGCTCAGAGGACCGAGCTCGCCGACGCAGACTCCGCGGCACGGCGGGATATCGCCCGACTGATTGAAGATCCCCACGCGCCTGCGGAACTGCCGAGTAGCCTCGTGGATGCACTTGCTCTTCGCGCGGGAGGTTCCGCGACTGGGCGGCAGCTCGCAAAGAGCTGCCGCCAGAGTGGCGCGCCGCCCTGTCGACAGCGGCGATGCAGATCTCACTTGCATGTCTGAGCTGGGCGGCTATTGCCAGGGCGTTGGCGACCAGGCCTTCGAAAGGGCTCGAGCGCTTCACCCCGCGCGCCTGCCGCGCGCTCGCCAGCGGGGCGCCCGGGCGCGCGCGGCGCGCGCGCGGCCCCGTGCACCTTGCACGCGCGAACATCCAGCGTTGCTCGGGGCACCGCGAAGAAGCAGGCGGACGCGGCGCGGGTGGAGTTCGACATCGTCTGCCCCGCGTCCCTGCGGCGAGCCCGGCGGCGCCGCTCAACCTGCCGATGCGCGGGGGCTCGCCGGCCGCCCCTGCGGCGCCGCCCAGCCTGCTGTCGCTGCGCTAATCGCCGGCAGTCCGCGCGCCGCGCCCCCCGGGGTGCGTTCCGCGACGCGCCGAACAGCAGCGGGGAGCCATTCTCAGACAGGCAATGCAGATCTTATGGGGCCCCAAAAAGAGGCTGCCCATTAATTGCCGGCGTCGCGGGCGCCTTCTACTTGTCCTCTGATGAAGCCATGGAAGTCTGCAGCGTTGATGACGACGGGCGCGCGTCCACGCGGCCCGCCGAGCGATGGGCACCGACTGCGCCAGCTCTGGCCTGATCCTGGGGCGCACGAATCGCGCGCGTTGCGGCGCCTGCTGGCGTGGACTTCCCTGGGGCGACCGCGCGCAAAGACCAGCGCGTCGCAGTCGGCACGCGCCTCGGGATTCCTTCGGGGACAGCAACCGCAGATTGGTTCCGCGGCCGCCCCTCCATAGTTGCGCGCTGCGAGCTCCGCCGCGGCTGCCCGGGCGTCCCCCGCCGCGTCGCTGGCGCCCCGCGCGCGATTCGCATGTCCGTTTCGCTGCGTCGCGCCAGCGCCGTCCGCCGCGGCGGCGCGCTCTGCGCCGGCGCCCCCCGCCCCGTCGCAGGCCCCCCCGCGCGCAATTCTCGCGCGCGTTTCCCTGCCCCGCGATGGCGCTGGGGGGCCCCGCCGCGCGCCCCGCCCGCGGCGGCCCCGCGGTAGCGGCGGCGCGACAGCAAACCGCGCCTGGGGGGCCTCGCCGTCAGCGCCTCTCAAACAGTCAATCAGCCATGTCCATGCCGCTGCGGCCCTCCAAAAGTCCGCTGATCTTCTGACCGCGCAGGTGGCCCCACCGGCGATTTCGCTAGACGCGACGACCACTCCCACCAAGGCCGCGCAACCACCTAGCGCCACGGGCAGCTGCGCGGTCAAGACTGCGCCCGCCTCGGACTCGCAAACAGGCCCTTCCCAAGGCCTCGCCCCGCTGCCTCTTGCGCTGCGCCTGCAGCGCCAGTCCGCATTGCGATGTCTGACCAGTCCGCATTGCACCAGCGACTGGCTGGAGGTCCACGGGGGCCAGGGCCAGGAAGAGGGCCAGGGCCAAGGCCAGCAGAGACAACAGCGGCAGCAGCACCGGCAGAAGCGGCAGCACCAGCAGGGAAACAGCACCATCACCAAAGGCAGATGCACAAGCAGCGACGGGAGCAGCAGCGGCAGCAGTTAAGGCACCATCAACAACACCACCAGCAGCAGCGGCAAAATCATTGCAATGATCTGCAACGCCATCACTTTGACATTGCTTTTCTTGTCCTCCGTCTCTCTGCGCCCGTCTTCCTCTGCGCCGCGCGGCGTTCCTGTCGCGCGCCGCTGCCCCCTTGCCGCGTCGCGCGGGCCATGATTCAGTTGTCGACCAGGCCCGAGGTCGCCAGGGACCCGCGGGGCGCGTCGCTACCTGCGCCAGCGCGGCTCTCCTCGGCCTGCAACTCATTGCATGGCCGGGTGCTCCAACTTGGGCTCCAACGACCCCTGCTTTGCATCTCGGCGACTCCAATTTCCAGGCGCGCGGCAGAGTTGCACCTCCCGCCCACGCGCGTCGAGGAGGAAGGGGGGAATTATGCGCGCGACAAAATTTGAGGCACACGCGGTCGCTGGGAAGGAGAGCGAGAGAGCGAGCGCCGCGCTGGCGTCGCCAAGACCTCCGACGCAAAACGCCATCACTCGCAATTGCAATGCGCAGACGAGTCTGTGGAATATGACCAAAATCGCTGTCCATGCTTGCGCGCGAAACTGGCACGCGCGAGGGATGATTCACTCAGAACCATCATGGGGCCATCCACTCTGGGCGCTGGCCCGAGCGCTCTTCCCAATCCAATTTTGCCCCCCTCGGTTGACGAACGAACAACGCGCGCCCATGCCCATGGGGGGTTCGTTGGGACGGGGGCCGGCTATGGGCACGGGCGCGGGTTGTCGGACCCCGGGGGGCGCTCCCGTTCGAGCGGGGGCCCCATCCGACAGCGCGCGCCCGCAGCCCTCTCCGACCTGGGCAAGCGTTGTTGGCACGTCATCGGTGGCGCACGTAGCCGGCATCGGCGCCAGTCGCAACTCTGACCCGTAGGCCCTCGTAGGGGCACTGTCCAGCAAGCGAGAAAGCGGGGCAACCATAATATTGCAGACGTGGCCCTGGCGGGCGGCCCCTCGGAGACCCAGGGCGGACTCGTCGCCGAAGTCAGACTGACTAAATCTGTTCGGCGAGAAGAAGATCCGCATGACCGAGCGCCAAGGCGAGCGCCGGCGAACCGTTAACCTGCGTCAACCTGGCAACTC